CACCCGCAGGCTTCGGCGCTACGAGGAGTCTTGGATGTAGCCCTGGGAGGCTTTGTTGTTCAGGGTTTAGGCTCTAGGGTTCGGGGTTACGGGGCTTACGGTCCAGGCTACTAAACCTTAAACTTAAACCTTAAACCCTACAGGGTTCACATTTTGGGGTGGGTGTTTAGGGGGATTGTGGGTGCTGGATTCCATTGCTTCTGCCTGCTTTCTGAAGAATGCTTGGTGGGCTTGCAGGTAGGTAATCTGTAGTTTTTAGGGGGGGTTACTATATAACGTTTAGCTACCCTAGGATACTGACCAAGAGAGAAGTCCACTTGTAACGACACAAGAGGCATCCCTTCGTACAGCCCCATCCCAAAGCCCTAAACCCTAAACCGTCAGAGGGCCCATTTCGGAGTCTGGTTGAGCTTCAAGTTTCTGTGTCTCCTCTTTCTGTTTGGATCTTAGTCGTGCTCTCCTTTCTCTGGCTTTATTTCCGACACCCTAAACCCCGTAAACTCGAAGCCCCGAACCTTATACACCCAAAACCCTAAACAGAAAACTCTAAACCGCTTTGGCGGGGTCCATTTCAGCCTCCACAAACGTTAGCTCTGCGCCCTTCCACCCGCGCGCCCCAGACCATCTCTGCGGCAATCCGATTTAGGGTTTATAGGGTTTGGGATTTAAGGTTAAGGGTTTAGGGTTTAGGTTTTAGACTTAGGGTTTAGGGTAACCCTAAAACCTAAACCCTAACCCTAAAACCTAAACTCTAACCCTAACCCCTAAACCCCTAAGCCCTCAACCCCGAAACCCTAAACCTTTAGGTTTTAAGCTAAGGTGTCTTTAGGAGCTCGAAACCCCCAAGGAGATTGAGAGATCGTTTGGGCCCAGGAGCAGATTGGCTCTTCTGGCTTTGGCAAAGCTCCTTGGGGGGCTAAGTATAACCTTTAACCTTTTTGGGGCTTAAAGAAAGTTTTAGGATTTAGGGTTTAAGGGGTTTAGAGTTTAGGGTTTGGGTTTTAGGGGTTTAGGCGGTTTAGGGTTTAGGGCTTTAGGGATAAAATCCTACCATAATTTGCAAGGTTGACCTTTTTGGGGGCGAAAGGATATTGAGCCCCTTAAGGATCTGACCACTCCGGAAGAGCTCAAGTATACGGAGGAGATCCATGGTAGCAATTCGCAGGCTTTGTTTTGTGCTAGTCGTAGCTTAGCATGCTTCTAAGGGTTTAGCGCTGGGGTTTAATGGTACAGGCTTGCGGTCTGTGTGACTTCGTCCGAAACATCGAACATGTCGAGATATTGATTATATATGTATATGTATATACGTACGCACGCACGCAGGTATGCATGTATGTTTGTTTGCCTGTTTGTTTTAAAATGTTTCAATAGCCACGTGATGTTATGGTCCGCAAGCTTCGTAGGATCGTCGAGACTAGCATTCCCGACTTCCTCACCGCTGGCCCTGCCACATGTGTGCGGGATGATTACTTCTACTGGAAGGGCAACAACTACCGGCCTGAGACAGGCGCAAGAAATCTGTGTCCTACACCCTGAACTGCGGAAATCCTATTGAGAGTTTAGCATGACATGTATGGTACCAGTAATGGTTTGCCTTATGTATTTTGGTACTTTCAGAGAAGGGCTTCCGAAGCTTGGCGTGTAGTCTATCTACCCGTTTTTATGCTCAGCCTTGCTAGTGATCTGGGGATCGGCATCTTCACCATAAACCCTAAACCTAAAATCCCTAAACCCTAAACCCTCATCCCCAACCAGTCCCTGAAGTATCTCTTGGGGTGTTCAGGCAAACCAGTATGGCTGACTCTGGATGAGGAAAACGTGCAGCACATCTTCTTTGACGAGACTCGGCGGAGTGTCGGCGGAATGTCGAGTTGGAGGTTTCTGATTGGGGGTCCAAAAGGGCCTTAAAGAGCTTACATAGGGTTTAGGCTTTAGGGCTTCGGGTTTAGGGTGTATATAGAGGGTCTAGGGTTTAGGCCTTAGGGTTCTTGTCGTGTGTATAGAGTTTGGGTTTGACCCGAACATATGCAACCAACGGGTGTGAAGGCCTCGACGGTAGATCTGCAGACTCAAAAGCCCGAAGAATCCAAGGACAGCAGCCGCAACGACCCTATAGACCCTAAACCCTATAACACCCTAAACCCTAAAGGCCTTAAACCCTAAACCCTGAACCCTAAACCCTAAACCCTGAACCCTAAACCCTATAAGACCAAGCCCTGAAACCCTCAAGCCCTAAAACCCTAAAACCCTCGACAGCCCGAAAGCCCCCGAGCTCCAAGGACAACATCCACAATGATCCAGACGACTCTATCGTTGGGATCCGAGTCCGCCAGACGGCTTCCGACTCCTTCGGGCGCCTCCCCGGAGAGGCAACTTCGTAGCTGAATGAGGCTTATAGGGGTTTAGGGTTTAGGGGTTTAGGGCTTTAGGGTATAGGGGTTTAGGATTTTGGGGTTTAGGGTTTTGGGTTTAGGGCTCCTCAGTAGCTGAATGAGTACACTTTAAACTTTTTGGGATAAGATGATCCCTTGTGGAACTGAAAGTGTGCACTTTTTTTGTGCCTATGAACTCAGCAGCTATAAGGCAACGAGACGCCTGGAGGGCGTCTTCCTGGCCGCCTGCTGAGGTTGTGTTTTGGGGGGTTCATGGGGTCTTGTGGGTGTTTAGAGTTTAGGGTTTTGGCGGATTTAGGGCGGCTAGGTCACGATCCAAACCCTAAACCCTAACCCTCAAAGCCTAAACCAAAAAAGCAAAGCCTTAAACCCTAAACCCCTAATCCCCCAGACCCCAAACCCCTAAAATCCCCTGGGAGACGTTTTGAAAAACCGGAACCTTCGGCCTTGTCATCCCGTGAACTCAAAGGTTTGGGATTAAGGCTAAGGTTTTGTGGTTTTTAGGGTTTTAGGGCTTTAGGGTTTTTAGGGTTTAGGGTTTTGAGGGCTTTTAGGGTTTAGGGTTTTAGGGTTAAGTGTTTAGGGTTTAGGGCTTTAGGTTACCCCTAAACCCCTAAACCCCTAAACCCTTAAAGCCCTAAGTGTAGGGCTTAGAGTGGGAGATTGGGAGCAGATTGGCCGATCTTCGAGCCTGTGCGCCTCTGAACCTGCATTGAGTTGCGAGGACTTGTATACATATATCTATCTATCTATAAAAAATATGTATAGATATATATTGAGAGAGAGAGTACTCATAATACAATAGTAGCTATAAAACGAATGGTAATGATAACAATGAAAGCAATAATACTCAGTTGTTGCCAGGATTTAGGATCAGATTTGTAATCGTTTTTCCTCCACATTGGAAGCCTGATGGGCTCATGGCTCTGTGTCGGCGTCGCGTGCTGTCGCAGCTTCCGTGGGTGGCTGCGGTCGTGTCTGCGGCATGTGCGATCGGGCTACTGGTTGTGAATGTGACCTTTGGCTGCGCTGCCCTTGCAGCGTGGGGATATTTCTTCGGCTATTATGTTTTAAGAAGTCAGTCGTCTCCATATCCAGTCCAGATTCGTGCATCCTTGGCAACTGCCTTGCTGGCTTGTACTTCTGTGGTCACCGCCGCAGCCTGGCTGTTCCTGGGCGGCCTGGATGGCTGTCGTGTTTTCGATCCGGAGATGAAGACCTCATTCGGTTACAAGTTTGATCAGTTCTGGACACTTCTGTGTTTCCGTCATGCGGTGAACTGGTTTCTGACCGTGATTGGAGTATACCTAGTGCTGGTCGATCACGCGCAGTCAACTTATATCCGTGACAGCATCAGGTGTCTTCTGTACTTGTACGCTAGTCAGATTGTGTCCACCCTTGGCAACACGTGGATTGCCTGTGCCGGTGCAGACGGCAACAATGATGCCGTAAGGGATTCCGTCCTGGATGGTTCTGTGAACATGCAGGAGTCCCTAATAGCAGGACTACAAGTCTCCGGCAGGACTTTGCTCAGTCTTTCTGGCAATTGGTTTCTTCAGATCGTCGTGAAAATGATGAGGGCTCTTGAGGCGGCGTTCGAAGAGCCTTTGCCCTGTTTCCGCACGATCGTTTACCTGAAGTAATTCGTCGTAGCCTTAACGATTATGTTGCCAGCTGCATTTCGACTGCAGCTTCTCTTTGTGCTGGGTTGTTTCACATCAGCCCTGGCCCTGGTAGTCTTGACTCTTCTGGAATTCTTAGCGCTTCGAGCCCCTCTGCTCGCGCTGCAGCGTTCCCTTCGCAGTCGTACCGCGTGCAGCGGGGCTCCCTCGGAGAAGATGCTCTTTGCGGCGAGAACCCTGCGTCGCTTTCAAGTCGCCGTCCTGCTCAGCAACTAGGTCTCCCAGTGAGCTTTTTTTCTTTTTGTTTTAATAATTCCCAACAGCACTTACTGTTGGGTTTCACTCTCTGAAGAAAACAGGCCTGGATCAAATTTGCTGCGGCCAGCCCAAACCGGGAGGACGACGGAATAATCCGGAAATGATGGAACATGAATGACAGAAATTTTGGAAATGACAGACGGAATTTTCCGGAACTGATGGAAGATAAGAGACTGAAGGATCACGGAAATGGTGGACATGAAAACAGAATTTTCCGGAAATGATGCAGTTCAAGAGACGGAAACGGACATGGTGGAAATGCAAGACGGAATTTTGCGGATATGAAACAAACATATAAGACGGAAAAGTTAGGAAAAGGGTGTATATGCAACACGGAATCTTCCGGAAATGATCCAACATAAGGCAATTTTTGGGGAAGTCACGGAGCATAAACGATGGCAAAACGCAACAGAAAACTTTCCGGAAATGATGCAGCCTAAAAGACGGAAAAATCACAGAAATGGTGGGAATGAAAGAATGCTGTTGGGTCTTTGAGTGGGCTAATATAATTTAAACGCTTCGCGTCGTCTGCCTGGGCCCGGCCGCCAACAAACAGGGCCAAGGAACTGCTGGTGATTTGAAGGTGCCGTTGGCGGAGTGGACGAGGACCGGGGAAGGTGAGGAGCCGGCGGGAGAACAGGTTGGGGGGGCGGGGGGAAGGGGCGAGGAGGGTGGCCGGAATGTGGGGAGAAGGGAGCGAGCCGGAGTGGGTGGGTCTATTGGAGGAGGCGAGATTTCACTGCAATACCTGGGAAGACTTCATGGGTGCAGACAGACGAAGCCCCCCCCGGCTGGGCATCCTAGGCAACTCAACCATCACTTTCGTCGTTCTGAACCCCGCCTTGTCGAGTGTCTTCAACCGGGAGTACGTCGCCGTCACAGCCGCTGACTACAGCTCCTTAGTAGCTGAATGGGCGCAGGCTACACTTTTGGGGATAGTTTTGTCCCCTAAAAAACTCAAAGATTGAACTTTTCCACGGCTTATAACATTGTAAGTTCAGCAACTTAGACTCCACGAACCCCAAACAAACCCTAAACAGTCGACGAAGGCTCCTTGCTGAATACAGTTGGATTGGCTATCGGCCTTGTGATTCTCACAGGCTCGCTGAATGTCCCGAAACTTGGTTCTCCTATATTTTAAGTTTTAATCTCAACGTTTAAATTATTTTTGGCTTTCATAGCTTGGTAGTGCTTTGAAAATTTGACCCTTTTATTTCTCTGGCTTGCAACCCTAAAACCTAAACCTAAACCCTGAACCCGAAACCCTAACCCTACATTTGGGAAGTAAGGAAGCCCTCGAAGAAAAAGGCTTCCGAGCTCCCGGAGGAGGGACCGATGGGTTTCTTGCACAGCAGCTTCTTGGTAGTTTTATATAGGTGGTTAGGCTCTCGGCCTGCAAGGGTGCTGAAGTAGTCCTTGTTTAGGGTTTAGGTTCTAGGGCAGGGTTACTATCAGGTTCGACAACGGTTCCACAACTTAGATGGCTTACTTATATATATATATATGTTCAACCCCCCCCCCCCATGACAGACCATATATATATATATATTCGGTATGAGTTTGGTCATCCTAGAAAGTTGGAACGTTTTTGGGCCCGGTTGTTGTAGAAGCGAGGCGTTGTCGAGCAGCAGTTGCAGTGTACCTGCGGGCGCTTCAAGAAGAAGAGGTGGTCTCTCCAGGAAAATGCAGAGCCAGCTACTCGATTTGCGTTCAGATGTTTGGGGCTTCGGCTTTAGAGTTTAGGGTTTAGGGTGTAGGGCTTGTAGGGTTTAGAGTCAAGGATAGAGTTTAGGGTTTAGGGTGTAGGGTGTCTGTCAGCGTTTATAAGCAATTAGTACCCTTCTTGCCATTTTTTCTTTTTGGGCTCCCTCACTAGAACCAAACAGTAGCAATAAGGGTACCTTCGTTATTGGGGGCTACTGGGGAGCCTAGGAGGTTTCTCGGGCATGTCTCGTGGTTAACCAGAATATGTACACCTATGGATCGTTCATCTTAGTTTTTTTTTTGCATGTCGCAACCGGGAAGGTGGGAGAGCAAATGGGAAAGACGTTGTCACAGTTTTCTGCAGCGTCGGGCATTCGCCACTGGAGTTCGATTCGGAGTGAATCTCGGAACAAGGACTGTCAGCGATGTGCCTGGGATGAGCACGTCAAGGAGATAGCTGGTCGGCGCATGTCGGTGGATCAACTTCTCGACTTTTATGCCAAACTGGGTCCCAAAAGGACGACTGGGGAGTTACGCATGACGCATTTTGACCCTGCACGGTCTACTACGACGGACGTTGTCCGCCACGTCGTGATCCCGGAGTCGCGCTGCGGTGACACAGGCAAGGCCTTGGCGGAAGTTGTGCAAAGCTCATCGCGGATGTGTTGCCGTCCCAGCTCTTCCCCGACGGTGCGCATGGTGACGCATCACTGGGCAAACAGGTTTAGGGATCTCGTCGCAGCTGTTGTTGCGGACAGTTTAGGCCTCAAGCGCTGGGACAGCATCGCAGATGAGTTGTCGTCTGGTAGAGGGGAGGCCTTGAGGTCAAGGCTTCAGGGCCAAGGGTCACTGCACTGGGAGTACTGGATCTGCGCATTCTGCATCAATCAGCATCCAAGCTCCTTCATAGTACCCTTTTGCCTTTTTCTTCTGGGCTCCCTTATTGAAACCAAAAAGTAGGTGAATGGGTACCCTTATTGTTAGGGGGCTACCGGGGAACCTACTTAGGCATGCCAGCATTTGTGATGTTGCTATGGGTGCCCTCGACACTGTCACGGGCGAGCCCTTGCCGACTTGTGACTGCAGTACACCAAAGTACTTAAATGATTCTCCAGTTCAGTGCGAGCTGAACAAGTTTGACAGCATGATGGCTTACCTTCACCATCGTTATCACCAACGCTTTCTGCAAGTTGTTGCGACTGACAAAAGCTTTAACCTCTTCTCGCGTGCGTGGTGCATAGCCGAGCTGGTCCAGGCGCACGCCAGCAGAATGGAACAGCATGTGGTCCTTCATTCCCACAAGGTCCTGGAAGCTCGGCCGCTCCTGAACATGATTTTCCAATTCTTGGGTTCTGGCTAGTCTTCTTGGGTTCTGGCTAGTCTTCCGAGGGAACAACGAATGATAGATGCCCTGCAGGAGCTTACTGTAAACCCTGTGAAACCTAAAGACCTAAAGTCCCAAACCCGGAGCTCAGGAAGAGAACTCGGCACAACTGGAATCACTGCGAGTCGCTTCGCAGTGAAGTGGGCAGCCTTTGAACACTTTCTGAAATATAAACCCAAACTAAATGACCATGTTGGGGTATGAAAACCCTGAACCCTAAAGCCTCCCCCAACATCATCCCTAAACCGGAAGCCCCAAACCCCAAGCCCCAAACCTCCAGCCCCCAACCCCAAACCCTGAACCCTAAACCCCAAACCTTACAAAAATAGTCCAACCCCTGAACCCGCAGCCCTTATTCCTGAACCCTAAACCCCAAACCCTAAACCCCAAACCCTGAACCCTAAGTTCCCCTAGTCTCAGGTAGAGGATTGTTCGGCTTCCCGACCCGAAGACAAGGAAGAAATCCTGCAAAAGCTTCTCCGCACCGAAGCAGTGCCCTTTTGTTCCCTTTCTTTTCGGAAAGGAAGGGTCCTTTTTGGCCCCTTTCTTTTAGAGAAGGAAGGGCTTAAGGTTTAGGGTTAAGTTTTAGGGTTGTAGCATTTAGGGCTCAGGGTTTAGGGTTAAGGTTTTGGGCTTTGGGTGTAGATCCTCTTTGATCTTAAAGGTTTCTGTAAGAATTCTGAACAAATAGAGATCAATAAGGATTCCATCGGAGTTCGGGGGTTCACGGTGTAGGGTTTTAGGGTTTAGGGGTTAAGGGTCTAGAGTTTTATGGTTTAGGGGTTCAAGGTTTAGGGTTCGGCGATTCGGGTTCTACAACGATTCCGTTCGAAATTCGAAACGGCACGTATTCCACAAGGGATTCTACAAGGATTCTATAAGTTCTAACAGTGATTGTTTGAGGGGTTCCATAAGCGGTGCGGGGGAACCCAGGATTGGCTCAGCATCAGAGTCTCGGTGGCATTGGACAACTTGTTCATGATTCTCGGTTGTAGGAGCATTTAGAAGTAGTACAGGACCCTGAGTACTTGCAAGTACTTGGTCCCGGGGATATCTCGTATCAACTGGGTGCTTTACGCATCCGCAAGGCGTCTGCTTCGGGGAAAGCATTGTAGACGTTAGATCATCTTATCAAGCTCTGTATCTTCTGCAGCACGCTCTCGCATCTGTCGGTGTCAGTGGGCTTGCGCGCGCCCATCTTCGCAGTAGTGTGTGCTTGTGTATTGCATATTATGTATGAGATATGTATATGAGCATGTGTATAAAATTATGTTTATGTATGCATTATGCGCAGAAGCCCTTGGGGCCTTAGGATAGCTGTCGATTTGAATACTGCACATCCCAGCGTCTACATCTACATGGCAAACACGCCGGTTTCTTATCTTGGAATGCTTCCACATGTAGTATATACCTCAGCGTCCGCAACAAATCCCGCACTTTGGCCTATCTGCTGCGTGCTTCTTGAATCATTGAAACCAGCGTCTACATGGGCTAGTTCTGATGTGTAATTTCGCCGCTGATGTGTATTCTCCCTGAACCATCGTCTGCCGGCATTGATTTGTATTCTCAGCAGCTGATGTGAGATAACCCCAACGCCTGGTAGTAAAAGCATTTCTTGGGGTCCCAATAGGGTCCCAATATACTTACAGCCTAGTCTACTGATGAAAGCCCCTGCATTCTCTGCCTGAAGAAAGCCCTTCAAACATATCTCTAAAGCCCTAAGCCTTAAACCCTAAACCATCCACAGCCCTGGAGCCTGCAGAGCCACCCAGGAGATAGACTGGGCTCTTGTTAGGGGACTTAATTTAAGCTACCATGATAAGTACAAATAAGCAAACCATATGGATCCCTTCATGAGCAAGAACCCAGGAGATCGAGGAGTTCAACCGAAGGCTTCGAGAGCTTTTACTGGGATCGGAAGGGCTTTTTGCCGGCTGGAAAGATGCTCAGGCACTCCTCCTCGATGTAGGTGCCATAGCAGCGCGAGCCAAGGCCTCGCTCGATGCCAGTCAGTCTGAAATCTTCGAAGAAGATCTCGTAGAAATTTGAAGTTTCAGATGAGAGTCTAAAGCCTAAGCCCTGAAGACGGGGCACAGAGTCTGTAGGCTCCAACCTCCCATGCGGGACTTTTTGAGGAGCATTTCCCCGCCTAATTACCTTGAGCTGTTTCATCCTAAGCCCATCTGCAAAGGTAGATGGCTTCTTATGGCTGCCCCTGCTGGGCCCGGGGCCGCGGTTGTTCTGCACGTCCTGGCCACGGCTGTTCAGTAGGTTTTGCAAAGCTCAGGGTTTGTGGGGAGTTGTAATTCAGTTCTTGGCTCAGAAGTGAGCGCAAGACGCGTCGACAACAGCCATCCCATGGAAGTTGCAAAAAATACCGCGATTCTGAGTTTTCCAAGGCTCGGGATTCTGTGCGTGGGATACTATGGAAAACCCTGCTTTCCAAACCCCCGGTGCCTGCCGAAAGCATCATCACCAGCCTCCAGCACGCAAACCCAGCCAGCAGCTGCCGTTGCAAAAGAACACACGGCCGTGAATGGCTAGTGATATCATTGCTCAGCCCTGAAGCTCTAATATAGGGGCCTTAATAATTACTGGGTAGGGCTTTAGGGCTTTAGGTTTAGAGCTTTAGGGTTTTAGGGTTTGTAGGGTTTTGGGTTTTAGGGTTCAGAGTTTAGGGTGTTCGCGGCTGTGGGGCTTCAAGACTTAGGTATTTGTCTAGATTACCTTTTAGGGTCCTTATTGTAAAGGTGCCGGGCTATATTGGCAACATAAACAGGGACCCTATTTTAGGAAACTACCCATGTCCCAGGATTGTATTGGTAAGTCAAGTTCAAAACCCAAAAGTCCAGAACGTCCGAATACGGGAGCCTGGGTCATGCAGGATTTATATCATCAACCGTATTACCAGCCCTCTGCAAAGGTGAAGGCGCAGCCAGTGGATGCCATTCTTGACCCAGACTACTTCTTGAGGACTGGGGCTCTTGGGGAGGTTGAGGGCACAGGGTGCAGACTTTACCCACAGGCTCCTAAGTAGCTCCTTTTTGTGGTTTATAAGTAGAATCCTATAATGTAATCCCAAAAAGGAACTACTAAGGAGCCTATGGGTAAGGATAAGGCCCTCAGTTTGAGGTGCGGAACTGAACTTAGGGGGTGTCTGAGGTTCTCAGCGTTTAGGGTTCAGGGTAGTAAGTTCCGGGTTTGAGGCTTAGGAATCGGCAGTCCGGGAACCACCGTCCATAGCCCTAAGCGCCCAAAGACCGAAACAGCACCGTACTCCCAAGCACATCCTCTTTGGTATCGTTGGAAGTAGATGCGGGTTTGAATACTTAGACCTCCAGCGTTTGCTGTTTTGAGCCAATAGAGACACCCTGATTTCGGGGATTCTTGCATCCGGGGGCCACGATGTTTTGCAGCCGTCGTGCTGCTGAGAGGACTGGCGACGGGCTTTCGGTTATAAGGGAATCTGTGAATTATGTTGATTAGGGTGTAAAGTTTGGGGCTTACGGTTTTGGATTTAGGGTTTAGGGGAATCTGTGAATTATTTTGAGGTCCCTTTTTTGTACAAGGGACCGTATAGTTCTTCGGGCCCATATGCAAGATTCCTTGTTTGGGGAATCCCCTGGTTTTCTGTTGCCGGTCTTCAGGAACATCCAGCGCTGCGAAGAGAACTTCGACCGACTTCGTGCCGACGGCAGTCTTGCACGATTGCTGAGTGGCACAAAAGCCTGAGATAAGCAAAGCCAACATCAGCAGTGGTACCACATCCTTCAACATCGCAGCAGAAGCTTAACCCCTTGACCCCAAATCCGAAGACATGACCCTTAACTCCTAGCCTACAGATACTCCAATGCTTACCACATGAGTTACTATGGACCACACCCGCATACATACACCTAAATCATCCAAAACCCCTAAACCCCTAAACCCCGACACCCTACACCCTAAGCCACATCCTCCCATCTTTTCACTCAAGCTTGACTGGCACCTCGCAGAGAAAACAGTCGGATTCAGATGCCAGAAGTCGCTCCATGTCTCGGTTTAGGGTTCGGGCTCAGGGCCTTGAGGCTTCGGGGTTTAGGGTTTAGGGTTTAGGGCTTGAGGTTCAGGGTTTAGGGTTTGGGGTTTAGGGTTTATATAGGGTTTGGGGTTTAGGGTTTAGGGCTTGAGGTGTCGGGCTTGGGGTTTAGGGTTTAAGGTTTGGGGTTTAGGGTTTATATAGGGTTTGGGGTTTAGGGTTTAGGGCTTGAGGTGTCGGGTTTGGGGTTTAGGGGTCGTAGGGGTCAGGGGTTAAGGGGTTTAGGGTTGCGGAATCGTTTGATTATAAACTCTATCCAGGCTTTCTAGCTCCTAAGTCTTGCTCCTCCACAGAGGCAAGAAGCAGACTTGCCATGCACCTTTGCAGGATCTGAAATTCAGGCTTGGTTCGGGGTGTGGCCAAACTTCTTCGGCTGGTGCACTCACAACCTATCCTAAACCCTAAAGGGTTGACCAAGATTAGAAAATTCTCCCACCCTGCGCAAGCCTTCTGAGCTTTCTTAGCCCCGAGCCGCCTGCGAACACCCGTGCTGAGGGCTTCCAGGTTTGGTTTCGGACTTGGCAGTCATTCCTTGAACTCCCCTAGGTTGCCTGATGCTGACACTTCCTAGGTCAGCCCCGCCCAACCAGGATACCCTAAACCCTAAACCCCCTAAAACCACACACCCTCTGTCACGAGGTGCCATCCGAGCACGACGCCTGCCCGGGAAGCGTCTGCGTGCAAAGCTGCGCAGGCGCCTGATCGGAGATGCTTTGCGTGTATATTTCAATTACAAACACTGCTTTTAATTTAAAAAAGCACTGTTTTTTGTTTATTGATTACAAGCTGTTTTTCATTAAAAACTGAGCTGCGTGTAAGTTTAGGGTTTAGGGATCCCAAAGAGGGAAACATAAGGAACTGGGCTCCTCCAACTCAGATTGTTTTGTTGGGGTCTTTCATTGTCTTAAAGCCTCATGTAGATGCGACGTTTCACAGCAGCATTACCCTGAATGGTAAGCTTGGTTTAGGGTTTGGCGTTTATAGAACCCTAAACCCTAAACTTTTTGAGCCTACCCATAGGCGCCTACCCATAGGCTCCTAAGTAGTTCCTTTTTGTGGTT